TATATATATATATATATATATATATATATATAATGCAGAATTTCAATATTGTCTAAAAACATTTGCTTCGCATACCATTTTATTTATATTCTTTAGCTTATTTGGGCTTATATGATAAATCACACTTTTACATATCACCCCCCATAATTTCTTATTATTTTTTTTGTAGAATTACACATTGTTTACAAGAATAGGGCGGACCAAAATGCTCAGAAGGGAGCTCTTATAAGCATCTTGCTTAAGCTGTCCAATTAGAATTTGGGTCCACTGTCGTACACTTTTGGTACCGGGAGTGTTTTTATGCGGTGAATGTACACAATAATTTTTAGGGTTTAGGATGGGAGGGTAAAACTGCAAATTAAAACTGAACAATCACCTTTCAAAGTCTTCTAAAAAACATATCCATATTTAAGGGGGACCGAATAATGCACCCACCGTACCCGCCCGGGCCCCATTATTCCGTTTTCCTACGCGATGAGTTGGTCAGCACCGCACCACCCAAATTACTCGCTACCTAAAAAGATTAAAATCCCTCTCCAAAGTCCCCACCCTCACAGCTGTTCTCGGCCACCGCATGCAACCCCCACCACCCCGCCCGCCCCATCGTGGGCCCCATGCAAATTCATAATCCATCACGCCACGTGGCATCCAATGCAAGAAAGTGGGTTCCAAAATATCTAAGCCGAACTTCATTATACTTAAAATTACAACACTTTAGTCATAAATCTGTGCATACACGAGGTAATTTTGATATAATATTATGTTTATTAAAGTTTGGCTATTCTATATGTAAACACATGTATAGGAAAACCACAAATTTGGGAAATTTATATACACACAACCGAGCCACACGCTTATCGAGCCAGGCTAATCTGCCAAATTATTAGCTCGAGTCGAGCTCGTAGTGGCAGCAGCCAGCTCATAAATTCGAATTAAAAATTCAATTTTTAGGTGATCTCGTCAGAAAATACATACAGTTCACCAAAAAAACATAGCGAAATGATTAGAGGTAGGCTAATCAAGCAGGCTCGCAAGCCAACGAACCAAATTGGGGCAAGCTTGAACTTGAGCTCATCGCTAGATAAGCTCGGCTCGTGAGCTTGAGCTGGCTCGAACTCATTTACACCCCCACATACCAAGAAATTATTGCATCCTTATTAAGTGCAGATGCTATTATTCTAGATGTTATTGGTGATATTATGTTGTTATTAAAATAAAACAACATCGGAATACTATAAATAACACCTCGTACATATTACACATTTTATTTTATGTAAAAGATAATAAAATAGTAACTTAACCGAATTCAAAAAGTGGGTTACCTGAAGCTGAGGGATCGTAACCGAAAAGAGAGGTCCCCGGGGGGCTCCCGCTACTACTGCCGCTGATTAAGACGCGGTGGTGGTGGTGGCGGTGGTGGGAGAGTTGCTCCGTCTCCTCCTGCTGCTCCAGATCTACGTGCCAGATCTGTTGATCGTCGTAATGCTGATTCCGGCGCATGACGCCGTTACCGTCAACCCAACCCGGAGCGTGGCCCGATGCGTTGACCCGCCCGCACTGCGTTGAAAAATTAAATAAATAATAAAGATATGATTTTTTTAATCATCTGCGTTGGAAGTGGAATGCTGGAGATTAAATTTTCCTTTTTTTTTAAGGTGTTGGTACGTTTTCAGTCATTCCCTCCTCGGGATGAAGAAGAGAAAGCTGTCCGTTCGTAAGGCCTTTCTCCTTTCTCGCATTATTTCCTCGCATTTTACCCATGCGGCCAAAGTACTCTTTCTTCTGCATGTATGCCACTTAATTCATGTATTTACATATCTGACCCCTAAACTTCAATTTTTTAAACAATTTTTTAAGCATATGTTATACTAGGTAATATAAAAAATTGAGTAATATAAAATGCAAAAAAGAAAAAAAAAACAAGTTTTGGTGATAAACATGTAAAAAGCATAGGAATTGGGTGATATGATTAAGTCTTAACTCGGATAGGCCAATATAAGATAAAAAATTTTCACTCTGAATTGACTCGAGATTGAAATGTAATATTACGAGTCACAAGTCAATTTAGACCGATTTAAAGTTTGAATGGGTCCAAATAACTCAATTTGAACAACTTATATTCAATTTGAGCCGGACCGAGCTGATTCCAAGCTGAAATTGCCTCAAATAACTCAATTTGATCCAAACTCATTTCAATTTCGTGCCAAATTGAGATAGATTCAATTTCGAGTCAGCTCGAATTGAATATAAGGAACCACGAGACAATTTGAGCTGCACAAAATCTAGCTCAAGCCAACCCCAACTCAGCCCAAAAAACGGGATAGCTAACCGCCCTCCATATGCCCCCCTAAATAAAATTGTGATCCCCTGTCACGTAACATTTTCAAAAAAAAAAAAAAAAACTGTTGCAATTACTATTCAGGAAGAACTGGACAAGATTTTAAACAAAACTAAACTACATTACAAATCTATCCCCAATCTTCAGAAAAATCACTGCGTGGTATAAAAGTGTCACGCTTCATTTACCACATTTGCAAATTCCGCCAAACCATGAATTCAAGCTAATTCCGCACAAGAAAGAGGGCTCTCATGAAAAATAGATTAAAGACGGGATTCCTTTTTTTACCTCTGCTGATAAAAGGTTGTCCAGCCCCGTAAAATCCACCCTAGGGTTAACCGCTGCAAGTCGCATCGACAAGATCTGCAGAAAAGCCAGTTGGAGCTGAAAAACCATTAATGACAAAACCAACCCCGGCGCCCTCACCGGAAGGTCCTTCCGGTAAAAAATTATCTATAATTTGCCCAACAAATTTGGACATGCACGAAAAGATTATACAGAAAAGATTATACAAAGATCGTACCTCAACCTGCCGTTGCAGTAACTGTACGTGGTTGATAATTTCGTCCAGCACCAGCGCCGTACCGGAGATCTGCACGGGAGAAACTTTCCCCTAAATTACAGAAATTACACGGCCCACCTTCTCGGAATAAAAAAAAATTTATACAAAATAAAACCCCCCCCCCCCCCCCACCCCCTTGCAGTGCATTTATACTAGAAATATTTGAGTCTTACCAGCGTTATATCCCTATAACTTCTCTAATACCTTCAAATATTTACACAGATATCCACAGAAATAAGTAATTTAAAAAGTAAAGAGATGTAATTACAGATCTAACCTTGCTGCACCCGGGGACGAGCTCTTGGAGCAGCTTCATCCGAGCATTTATTTTTTCCCTCCTTGCCTTTTGAGAAAAAGGTGTAATTAGAAAATGTGAGGGTTTAATTATGGGATTAATTATGAATTATGGAGAGTATAGTTGTGATTAGAGAGTAACTCGCTCGGCTAAGCTATGGCTGTCAGTGGCTTGGCCTCGGCGAGCTCTGACGTGAACATACGGTAGTTTTTCCCCGTCTGGATTCGCCGGAGAACCCTCGTCACCGGCGGCGGAGGCGGATTTTCCTTTCTTCGATGGATTTTTGGTCTGGAAGAACGACGGGCTCTTGTGATCGGAAACGGTAGGTGAACTAGCAGAAGAAATTGAGATGTGGAGATTACCTTTGAGGATTTCTCGGATTCTTTTCTTTTCACCGGGCGCTGGGGCTTCAGCTCGGAGTCAGGGGGGTCGGATTTAGTGTTCGGGGAGTGATCGCCGTCGGAGTTGGAGGGGAAGGCGGAGCTGGCCTCCGGTGAGTCCTCGGAGTTAGCAAAGACTGAAAATCTGGTGGCGCGCTCAATTAGGGCAGCGTTGGAGGGAAAGGTCGGCGAGCAACGGAGCGGAAGTCGGACTGCCTTGGGATCCCCGAGGCGGAAGCCGCGGGAGGAACTAGGATCCAGTTCGTGGAGTAGCTCCACTGCTTGGCGCGGACTCCTCCTCGAAACGAAATGTTTCCGTCACTTCCGTCGCGTAAGTTCCGGAGTTCCCAGATCCCACGCCGGAGCACCGCGCCGGCTCCATAATCGCCGCTGTTCGGAACAGGATCAGATCCGCGAAATCGAAAGCCCCAATTCCGCAGAAATTGCTCAGTCCGCCTCCAAATCGGAACCTATTTCCCCGGCGACGAGGGAAGCGAAACCCTAGTCTTCCGGAAACCGTATACACTTGCTCAGCTCAGCTCAAAGGAGGTTTGGAAGCAAACGCAGTTTTGTGCGGCGGAAAAAAAGAGAGCAGAAAAGGTTGATGGTGAGTAATATATATAAAGCTGCAACGCCTTCTCTCTCCTCGTTAGTCTCGGCGTTTTTACCGGAAGCGGCCGCGCTCTGAAAGCAACGTCGCGCTCGCTTAAAAAAAGGGTTCCGACGAGAGAGACGAGACGGAGCTGCCGATATGGTCACCGCATGGTAAGATTAATAAGTGAAATTACAACTCCAAGCTCGTTCGAGCTGCCTAGACTCTCTATTAGATTTCATTTGAAGTAGCATCACTGATCCGTCAATTTCTTTTAAGAGTTGTGTTTGTCAGACTGAAAGAGGCCTGCTGCAATTTGAAAGGTTTCACCAAATAAAAAAATTTTCAGGCGTCGGCGTTCGCTCTAATTGAAAGGAACTGTAGTGCATTCTGAAACAATACCTTAGTCTCTCTGTGATACATTCTAATCTGGTATGTCTTGGGTTCATCCCGAAACAATTACATATTCTCTCAACTATCCTTGTTATTTAAACCAGTCACTTCTATGTTAGGTTCAGTCGATAAACAATTGAGTTAAAGATTGAGAAACTCTTATATGTTAGGTTTATCTATAAGGGGAATTCTGCCCACTTATTTATCAAGTATTATTGTAGTGGCAGAGGCTAGCGGAGTTCGGATAAAATGTGTTTATTATAAGGGTTTCAACTAAATTTATCTAAAGGACTGTTTCCCTCTTCTTTGTATAGATCTATTTGTTGATGACATATTTGACATTAGATGCTTAGTGAGCTTTTATGAATGTTTATTCTATTTTATGGGTTTTTTTTTTATATAGTTTTAGAAAAAAATTTTTATAAATTTTATCTTTGAAAGAGTTATAATTTTTATCTAAAACAAGTTATTGTTCAGGTATTTCTTAAAAAAATGTATTTGCTAAATTTATCTTCAAACCCCACACCAAAAATAGTGCCGACAGTTTTATTTTAAAAGATTTTGTCTTTATTTAAGTTTCATCCCTTTGGAAATATTATCTTTTGAAAAATTTCATTGAATTTCACCTAGAAAATTTTAATAAAGATCATATTTAAGAAAATGTTGTCTTTGAAAATGATGTTGCTAAGTTTTATTAGATTTTATTTATTTTTGAAAATAAGATTATTTTGAAGAGATTTTTTTTTAAAATATTATTTTGAAAATTCTATTTGGGTTTTAAAGAGATTTTCTATGAAGTGATTTTATTAATATTGTTTTTTGAGAAGTTGTCTTAAAACAATGTACCTTAGTTTTGTAATTTAATAAAAATTTTATTATATAACGACTTCAAGTCTTAAAAAGAAGTTTATATTATATTTTAGAAAATATATAAACTCACTTTACCATATAAAATTATTTTCTCATTTGGAGCTCACTCAAACTTATATAAAGATGATTAATTTCTGTCACATTTATATTTTTACAAGAATAATTACTTTTTATCACATTTTTAAAAAAATAATTACTTTATAACACGTTTAGTTTGTATATTTTTATAAAAATAATTTCTTTATAGCACAATTAATTTGTATATTTCAAAAAATATTATTATTTTTTATCAGTTATTATGACATGTGCTTCACAGAGCTTTTCATCCATTTTCAACCCGTGGAAAGAACTATTTCCAAACATGAAAGTATCATCCATGTATTTTAAATTATCCCAAGGTCACATAATGCATTTGCATGAAATACGTAAAATGAAAACTTGCCAACGTGCATAGAAAATACATAAGATCACAACTTGCTAACATGCATTAAAAAGACATAAAAACCAAAACTTTGAAACATGGGTAAAATTGCATAAGATCACAACTTGCAAACATACATTTGGAGACATAGGATCACAACTCGCATTTTTTTCTTTTTTACATGAAATATGAAACTAAAAGTAGAATTTTGTAGCATGAAACATAGCCCTAACACATGATTCTTCTAACATGAAATATACTCCTAACATATGAATTTTCTAACATGAAACATATAGTTTTCAATTTTAGTTTTTGTCTTAACATTAAATACAGGCTTTTGAACATGAATTTTGCTTTAAAATGGAACAGAGGGTTTACACATATATTTTTATCTTAACATGAAACATATGGCTAAATACAGGCTTTTGAACATGAATTTTGTTTTAAAATGGAACTGAGGGTTTGTGTTATGATATGACTCGTATACTATATAAAAGGACAGAAGCTGGATCGGAGCGGGGCGGAGGGGAGCAGAAGAATCTGTCCAAATCGGGAAGTTATGTGGGTTGGGAGTGCAGGGGCAACGCTCCGTTGTACGGTACATGGGTAATGTTGTAATTATATATTGTACTTAGGGTTTACTCCTTGGGTTATAAATAGACATGTTAGTAACCCCATGAGGTATCCCTAATTTTTGTATTCTCTTTTCTGAATAGTGAAAGAACTCGTCGTTCTGCTCCCGAGGACGTAGACATCTTTGTCGAACCTCGTTAAATCTTTGTGTTCTTTTGGATTTGTGTCAATTCATATTTTTTCTTGCCCTAATTTCTCAACAAGTGGTATCAGATACAGGTTCAAGGGCAGAAAAGAGATCGGCGTAGAGACGAAGGAGAATTGGTTGTTTTGGCAGAGGTGTTTGGCGGGGCTTGGACGATTCCATCATATACGAATGCTTGGAATTCAGGGAACAGAGCCTTGCAGAGGATTTCGCGGTAGATTGGACCAGGGAGAGATGTCAGCGAAGAAGAATTCTGGACGGATCGCTTGTCGCTGCAAGAAGGCGCGAACAAGGAGGTTCCTGCGTGGAGGCGACAAGGCGTTTTGGCGGCAAGCTGTTGGGCAGACAGACTACAGCTGGAAAGGATTCTTCTGGGCGGTTCGACAAAAGGATCGCGAGACAGAGAAAGCTCGCGCGGCTGAACAGAGGAATTTTCTTTACTACAGGGAGCCGGATCAATCGAGAAAGGAATATAAGAATCTTTGATTTCTACTAGATTTCTCATGAATTTCTTTTGCTGCATGGAGCTGGAACTGAAAATTTCTCCTTTGATTTCCTGGAAGGAAAGTTTTTGAATTCAGCTTAATTGCTTAATTAAAGGAAAATTTATAAATTTATTTTTAATTAAGTTGATTTATAGAAAATTCTTAATTAAGATTTTCTTTGCTGGAGGCTGCGGAGAAGGATTGATTCTTTTGCGAAGAAACTTAATTAAGATTTTCTTTGTTGGAGGCTGCGAAGAATGATTGATTCTTTTGTGAAAAAAAAGTAAAGTTTTTTTAGATTCAATTAATTAAAGGAAATATTTTAATTAATTGGGACTTAATTAAGGAAATATTTCAATCTTTTCTTTAAAAAAAGGCTTAATTAAGACAACTTAATTAAGGGTTTTTTCAATCCTTCTTTTCCTTTTTGAAAAGCTTCTGAGCAAGGATTTGGAGAGGAATTTTTGCATAATAATTTGTTGCAGAAGTTATTTTCAAATGATATTTTATGGTATAAAATTCGATGTTGTGAAGTTCGATGGAACTGGTAACTTCGGATGTGGCAAACAAGAGTAAAAGATCTGTTGGCTCAATAGATAATCTTGAAAGCTTTGCGGGCAGCAAAACAAAATATCATGGAGGATGAAGATTGAAAAGAATTACAATAACGAGTTGCAGCTACTATATGACTATATCTGGCAGATGAAGTTATGTATCACGTGATGAATTTAAAATCTGTAGGGGAGATATGGAAGAAATTAGAAAACCAGTTTATGGCCCGAACAAGTTGAATCTGAAGCAAAAGTTGTATGGGCTAAAGATGCAAGAAGGGTCTGATCTGGCGCAGCATGTTAATGACTTCAATCAAATAAGCACTGATTTATCACGGCTTGATGTGAATATTGAGGATGAAGATCGAACGATGATTTTGTTGTGTTCATTGTCTTCTTCCTATGAACATCTGGTGACTACTCTGACATATAAGAAAGAGACTATCAAAGTTGATGAGATTACTACAGCTTTGTTGGCTCACAACTAGCGAAAGCATAATGTAAATAAGAAAGAGACTATCAAAGTTGATGAGATTACTATAGCTTTGTTGGCTCACAACCAGCGAAAGCATAATGTAAAGGGAAAACTCTCATGACGACAGTTTATATGTTAAGGGTAAGCAGGATCGTGGAAGGAAGAAAGAGGAGGGTTCTGGAAAGCGAAATTTCCGATCAAAATCCAAAGGCAAAAAGCAAATTCATTGCTACAAGTGCAAGGAGTCATGTCATATGAAGAGAAATTGTCCAAAGCTCAAGAAGCAGACTGGGGATAAAGGTGATGCATCATCGAAATCTGTAAATGTGGCGCAAAATGACAATTCAGATTGCAGTGATGGCGATATGCTCTCAGTTTCATCAACTTAATTCACGGATGCATGGATTCTTGATTCAGGGTGTTCTTATCACATAACACTTAGCAGAGAGTGGTTTACTTCATACATGTCAACTAATTTTGGCTCAGTCTATTTGGGAGGTGATGGATGTTGCAATATTGTTGGTATTAGAGCAGTCAAAATTAAGATGTATGATGACACAATTAGAATGTTATGTGATGTCAGACATATTCCAGATCTGAAGAAGAACTTGATTTCCTTGGGCACTTTACACAGAAATGGTTTTATTCCTATGACTGATGAGGATAGAGAAACCATCAGAATTGATAAGGATGCACTGACGGTGATGAAAGACAAGTTAATTGCAGGCTAGCTACAAACTGTTCGGGAGTACAGTTGTAGGTGGAGTCCATTTTGTGGAGTCAGATGATGATAATACAAATCTATGAAATATGCATTTGGGTCATCTCAGTGAACGTGGGATGACAAAATTGCATAGAAAAAACTTTTTGTATGGTGCTAAAAGCTGCAAGCTCGATCTTTGTAAGTTCTGTGTTCTTGGAAAACCGATTAGAGTCAGTTTTATGACTAGAAAATATAAAATTGAAGGGATTCTTGATTATGTGCATTCTGACGCATGGGGCCCTACCAGGGAATCGTCGTTAGGAGGTTCTTAAAGGATCTCAGTATTTCCTTTATTGATGATTTTTCTATGAAAGTCTGGGTGTATTTTTTGAAGCAGAAATCTAAAGTATTCTCTAAATTCAAGCTATGAAAAGCTGGGGTGGAGAACCAAACTGGCAGAAAGATCAAATATTTGAGGTCTGATAATGACACATAGTACATAGATTCATAGTTTCATAAGTTCTGTGAGGAGCATGGGATTTAGAGACATTTTTTAGTGCGCAAGACACCACAACAGAATGGTGTGGCAGAAATGATGAACATGTCCTTAACTAAAAGGGCAAGGTGCTTGAGACTGAATGCAGGGCTTCCTATGAGTTTCTGGGCAAAGGTTGTGAATATGGCATGTTATCTCATCAATAGATCACCTAGAGCATCATTGGGTGGCAAGGTCGCATAAGAGGTATGGACATGTAATCTAGTTAAATTTGATCATATATGAACTTTTGGTTGGCCTGGTTATGTGCATGTACCTGGAGATGAAAGTTCAAAACATGATGCAAAATCCAAGAAGTGCATCTTTTTGGGCTATAAGAAAGGTGTGAAATGATACAAGTTTTGGGATCCGATTACAAAGAAGATGGTGATCAGCTGCAGAGATGCAGTTTTTGATGAGCAGTTTATGCTACAGCAGAATCAATACAAGGTGTCAGAGAAGAGTTTTAGTTCAGATGCAGTGCAGATGAATTTAGAACAATAACAAGTAGCTTCTGAGAGAGGTTAAATTTCAAATTCAACACCTGGTGATTTTATTCCAAATGGTCTGCAGAATTATAATCTAGTCAGAGATAGACAAAGACACATCAATATAAAGCCCCCTAGCAGATTGGGCTATAAAGACTTAGTCTCATGTGCACTTCTCATCAACAGTGATGATCCAACCACTTTTTAATGAGCTATCACCAGATAGGAGAAAGAGAAATGGATGGGTGCAATGGTTGAAGAGATGGAGTCTTTGCAGAAAAATCACACTTGGGAGCTAGTTCAGCTCTAGAGGGAAAGAAGGTTATTGGGTGCAAATGAGTCTACAAAAGGAAACCAACAATATCAGAAAAAGAAGGGGAAAAGTTCAAGGCTCGACTGGTAATAAAGGGATTTTCACAGCAGAAGAGGATAAATTATGATGAAATCTTTTATCCTGTGGTTAGACATATTTCAATCAGAGCAGTGCTTGCATTAGTAGCTATTTGAGATTTGCATTTGGAGCAGATGGATGTTAAAACTAATTTCTTGCAAGGTGATTTGGAGGAGCAGATTTACATGGAGCAGCCAGAATAGTTCACTTAACCTGGACATGAGCATCTGGTTTGCAGGTTAAAGAAATCGCTGTATGGGTTGAAACAGTCTCCAAGATAATGGTACAAACATTTCGACTCCTACATGATTCAGATTGGCTACAAGAGAAGTGAGTATGATTGTTGTGTTTATGTGAAGAGCCTTGATGATCGTTCTATTATTTTTCTATTATTGTTCGTTGATGATATACTGATTGCTGCAAAGAATATGAATGATGTCCGTGGTTTGAAAGCTTTATTAAGCCAGGAATTTGACATGAAAGACATGGGTTATATGAAAAATATTCTTGGAATAGAGATTCATCGAGACAAAGGCTTAAGACGATTATGTTTATCTCAACGAGACTATGTTGAGAAAGTGCTGAAAAGATTTGAGATGAAGAAAAGGTTTGAGATGAGCAAAACAAAACCTGTAAGCACTCCTTTTGCAAATCATTTTAAGCTTTCTTCAGAACAGTGTCCTAAGACAGATACAAAAATCAAAGATATGACAAATGTTTCAAATGCCAGTGCAGTTGGCTGCTTAATGTATGCAATGGTATGTACTCGTCCTCATGCTGTTAGTCAAGTCTACAAATACATGATTAAACTTGAAAGACAACATTGGGAAGAAGTCAAGTGGATTTTCAGGTATCGAAGGGTACTGTTGGACATGAAATTATTTTTGACATTCAGCAAAATGATACTTCAGTTGTGGGGTATGTTGATTATGACTATGATGGTGATTTGGATGACAGAAGATCTACAACTGGGTATGTGTTTACTCTTGGTGGAGGGCCTATATGTTGAAAATCAATAATTTAGTCTATTGTGACATTATCTACAACTGAAGCTGAGTACATGACAGTAGCTGAAGTTGCAAAAGAAGCCTTATGGCTTGTTGGGCTAGTAAAGGAACTGGGTATTGAGCAAGGTAGAGTTCAGTTGCATTGTAACAGTCAAAGTGTTATTTATCTGGCAAAGAACCAGGTGTACCATGCGAGAACCAAGCACATTGATGTCAGGTATCACAAGATCAGAGAATTGATTGCTTCTGGTGAGATACTGTTGCAGAAGGTTCATATTGATCAAAATTTAGTTGATTTGTTGACCAAGCCAATTACTATCAACAAGTTCTTGCATTGCTTGCACTTGAATGTTTGCAGTTGCTAGAGAAGCATAGTGGCCCAACCAAAATTGGTGCAGGTGTAACTCATAGGTATCTTTTTTCCTAATGGGCTGAATATTCGTCAAGGTGGAGATTTGTTATGGTATGACTCATATACCATATAGAGATAGACGCTGGATCGGAGCGGAAGAATCTGTCCAAATCGGGAAGTTACGTGGATTGGGGGTGCGAGGGCAACGCCCCGTAGTACGACACTGGAATAATGTTGTAATTACGTATTGTACTTAGGGTTTACTCCAACAGTTATAAATAAACATGTTAGTAACTTCAGGAGATATTCATGATTTTTGTATTCTCTTTTCTGAATAGTGAAAGAACTTGCCGCTTTGCTCCTGAGGACGTAGGCATCTTTGCCGAACCACGCTAAATCTTTGTGTTCTTCTGGATCTGTGTCGATTCCTATTTTTCTTCGCCCTAATTTCTCAACAGTTTGCACATACATTTTTATCTTAACATGAAACATATGGCTAAACACATGGTTTTGACATGAAATATTAGACTAAGTACATGAAGTTTGGAATGGGATATAAAACACTAGTGTTTCAATCATATTAAAATATGTACAATATATTTAACATATAAAAATTTAGGAGAGGTATATAAATATATAAAAATTTATGTATTGCATCCAAGAATAATATTTATTAAAATGTGGTGAGTGTATATGCATCTTTGAGCTCTAAAGCTCTAGTAGCGCTTGAAAAGAAGGATTTTCGTGTGTAACTCTCCATTGTTATCTGTTTACATATATAACACATAAAATTTAATTTTTACATACATACCCATCTTACCCATGCATGAAATAATGGATTTCACATTTTATTAAAAGTTCAAATGATGTTATTTTTGATGTGATATAACCTAAACAAACAAAGTTTTGGTGTTGGTTGTGTGAATACAAATGTATGGGGGGTATGTAAAAGCCCCAAACTATAAACATCCATATTCACAATTAATAAAAAAAAATGGAAGCTAGAACTTTGATAGGATCAACTACACCAACAAACTATCTTAGAATGATCATTATTACTTAGATAAAAATATTTATTGAATGTTCTAATTCAAGTTAAATCCCAAAAACTGTTTAACAACAGATGAAGTAAATCCATACAATTTCTGTCTAGATATAAAAATTTGTCACGATTCTAAGACCTTAAAAAAAATCACAATAGAATTTAATAAATGGTGTAAATTCAGCTTCTTAAAACATTAAAAAATAACTGAAATCTGCTAGCTCCTTAAATTCACTTAATATTTTATTTTAAATAATGATAATGAATAATTATATATCGATTAAACTAATAAATTATTAATTTTTTTTTAAATCTACAATTAAATAAAAGCGCAACACTTATGAAAAATAATTAATTAGCTATTAATTGCATTAATTAATAATTACTTACAAATTTATTGAATGAATAAATAAAATAATATTTTTTATTGATTAATAATTTATTAAGAAATATAAATTTATTTAATTATAATCAATCTGACTATGTAAATTTATTTAATTATAATCAATCTGACTATGTTTTAATTAATTATTAATTAGCAAAATGAATAAAGTGAACTTAAATAATATTAAATCAATACCACAAAGCTGAAACCCTCGCATACAGCACTCCTCTCTCTATTTCGTCCAAGTCCAAGCCAATCGCCTTCGTCACCGAACCCTAGCAATAGAGTCGGGATTGGAGGTAGCTGAGAACGCAGCGACGGGATCGCGCATTGCAGAGACCCAAAACCCCCATTCTTCTCATCCTTCAGCTCCTCTCCTATCCGAAGCCATCGAGGAAGGTAACTTCACGTATTTTTCCCGCGAAGCGTCTTTCCCGAATATATAAAAATAGATGAAAAGAAAAGCTAATTTATATAATAGTAATTCTCTTTTATGTGTTGTATATTCTTTGCCGTATAATTTTTTAGCTATGACATTCATATTATAAGGGCCATAAATTGAAAACAGACAATGAGATTGGAGTTTTCTTCTACTTACCAATGTAAGGTTTCCCAAGTTCATTGGTCAATTTTCAATGATACAATTGTTTGAAAGATTTCAAATGATCAATTAATGCTAGAATCTTATATTTGAATATAGTAATGTGCACATAAGTTCGCTTTGATTGGATGAATTAAGTCAAAATGCGCACCTAAGCAGAGTCTTATGAAACAACTTAACCAAACAAGAGCAAAATGATCATTTATCCAACAACAGATCCCAGTAAGCTGTTCTGAATAAGCTACCCCAAACAACAAGCCAACTTATTCTGATAATCTGCATTATCAGAATAATCTGTTTATCAGCAGATTATGAATAATCAACAGCTGCCCCAATCAGACCCTTAATTCTATGCATGAAAATGTGAATTTCACCTTTAAAAAGTGATAATAGTGTTATTTTTGATGTGATATTAATGATTTGAGTGCTATGTGTGTAAATATGAATATTTGGGTTTGTTATATTTAAATACATTTGAATTGTGTACTATGTATGTAAATGCCCATTTATATAAATTGAAGTTATTATTTTAATGATTTATTTTTATGTTAAATTAGTCCATTTGATTGAATTATTTTTATTAAGGTTGATATATGATATCATAATCATATAAATTCTTAAATCCTGAAAAAACAAAAACGATTTGCTTGAATTTAATGCATATCATACCAAATAGTTTTATAGGATTTATTAAATTAGTGTTTTTTCTATGTGTATCATATAGATTACTTTTAGATTTAACCTATAGATGTTGCTTGATTTAGTAATACCACCAACGTCGAGGAGTAGGAGACAATGGTCTCAGAGAAACCACTGGTGGCTTGAGTATGGTTGACGAAGGAAGTCGAGGAGTAGGAGACAATGGTCTCAGAGAAACCACTGGTGGCTCGAGTATGGTTGACGAAGGAAGTATGCATAACGGTAGGGTGAGTACGACGTTCCGGTAATGCGCAGAAGAGAGTGGGAAGGTGAAGGCGATCAAAATAGATTTTTGATTTCCTCTTTCTTTATTCATCTTCTTCCTCTTCCCATGTTTTCACAGACCAATAGGTGAGCTCAAATATACTTAAATTACGTTTTATTTTATCTTAGGCATTCTCAACTGCTGCTTTTGTGGGACCTTACCATTGGGTTCTCTTTTGCTATCAGACCAATGGCCTAATATATGCTTTTTACTACCAAAATGATTGAGCTCATCAACAATATTGAAGAACAACTCATCACTATCAACAATGTGCTTCGAGAAATGTTACTCAGTTTGATTCTTTTGGAGGCAAAATAAGAGCAACAATAAGCTAGACAATAATAAGAGTTGACGAGCACTTGACCACCTCACGACACAAGCATGAAGGAGCTTATGTTCGACTCATCGATCTACCATATGCCAACCAAAATCCAAATACATGGATATAAAAGATTGAACCATTATATGGTGTCTACAAACTAAATGATGACGGCAATTTAAGCCTAACTTTTTTCTATATGGATCTATATGAACGGACCAATAGAGATGATTAATTGATCGAAGAAATATAATAAAGCCTCGTAGCATGGCATGATTTCCTCATAGTTATCTTGGACACATTTCGGTCCATTGATGTATCGTGGCTTGTACCACAAATTGGCAAATCTAATCCAAACAACAGTAGTCTTTGACTATCAAATTTTTAACAACTCTCCAATGCCATTGTTGATGAATAATTCCTACAAATCTGGCTTTAAAATGGAGATTCACGAAGTTCAACTTCACCAACCAAAATTCTATTCTTGAATCAGGTTATTGAATTATTGAAACTAATTGATGATAAACTCAACGATCCCAAGCTATCAGCATCAACCAAAACATGTCCTCGCTCAGCTACCCACAGTGATAAGATCTCTCATACCAAATAAGGAATCAATTGACTATATATACCAATAAAAAAACTAATTGCATTGACTACAACTATTTTGCTATATAACAGCTTAGTACATGTCTTTACATATGTGATTCTACTGACAAAAAACAAGTCAACCTACATGATGAACCGGGCATTAATATTAAAGGCACACTATTGAGCTACAAAAAATAAAATAAAATAAAATAAAATAAAAAACCTCGTGGCTCCATTGCCTCCCTATTCCAACTCACAGTTATCACAAGGGTTAGCTCCTAACCACCAAACTCCATTGAATAAGCATCTGAGGAGATTTAAAAAAACATTCAAATCTTCAAACAAGTCTTCAACTTGCACTATCAATTTTCACCATATACATCCACATCAACCTAGGAATGCTGCCAATAAACGTCCACCTTTAACGATATCCCCATCTCCAAAAAGAAATTGAATAACTTATCTCATAAATGCTAGCGATGAGAGTAATCTGCCCTAACACTAGCCAAGTTCATCATTTGTTCTACTTGTTAGAAAGAGTAACTATTGCAGTTCTATGTTTGATTATATCACATACTTAATTAGGTGTTATGCAAGCTTTGTTAAACCATATTCTCAAAGCTGAATCTCTTTGTTAGCTTCCATCTGGCGCAAATGAGTAATGATGACATCTAAAAAATTACATTTCCTGCTCATGAAGGACAGTACAAGTGATTGGTAATGTCAGTTCTCCTCATCCACATTTCAAAATATCATGAATGCTATTCTTAGGCCATACCCTCACAAACTTGTTTTGTATTCTTATATTATTATTTGAGCACAAACAGTACCTTACTACAATTTTAAAGTACATTTAAGACCACAAATTACATCTTAAACAAAACAAATGCTTGTTTTGCATATTCACAATGGATTTTTTAGGCCTAATAGTTTGAGCAAATGGGTTCATTCCAAATCTGGATGAGATATTTGCCCATTTTGGAATGGTCACTCCAAGAAACATCAAATGGTTACACAACTTGTAGAAAATTAAATAATGGTGAAAAAATTATCTAGATTTATATTATATTTTTCTTTGTGCAATAAGAGAGATATTTATATATATTTCAAGAGGAGTTATAAAATATGAATCAATAAAAATTGGGGAAAAAAGGGATCGACGATCCTATAAAGAAGTACATGGATTATAATTCAAAAGCTATAGAGAAATTTATTTAACAATACAAGGTTGAGATCCCCGTGCCTTTTTTTTTATGTTAGAAATTGAGTGAGCCCCACTGTAACATAGTAACAACATGATATTATATCATGTATTGTAGCATACTATTGTGTCACATTTCTTTAGTAGAAATTCAACATCCTCTAAAAAAATTGAATGGTAGAAATCTACCATTTCAATTTTGCTTACAATATTTTTAAGGAATATTTACGTGCATACCATTCAATTCTTATGTATTTACATAACTAACACCTATAATTCAATTTTTACATGCATATACCACCTTACCTATGCATGAAAAGATCCATTATTTCGAAAAATATAAATGATGGTTTCTTAGTGTGATATGAAAGATTCGTGCGGTATAATTGTAAAAAAATAAAATTCAAGTGTTAGATATGTAAATACATAGGAATTGAGTGATGTGCATGTAAATGTTCTTATTTTTAAATATTAGATTGTGGAGTCATTTGGTGAATATACCGGTTAGTTGATCCCCTATAGGCATATATGAAGTGCAAACTAGGTAATTTTTTAATTTCTATTATATGAAAATAAATATCAAACTCAACATGTTTGGTACAATCAAGTTGTAATAGATTGTATGTAATGTTGATGGCTGATTTATTATCATAGTTTTTATTCATAGGATCTTTTACTTGATTTCTAAATCTCTTGATATAATTTTGATCCATAAAAACTCACAAATCTCTTAGGCAATGATGCTAAATTCATCTTCGGAACTTAATCTTAAAATCAAACATTTTTTCTTATCTCAATTTATAAGATTTTCTCCTACGAATATACAATACCCCAAAGTGAAATTTCTATCCATTGATGGTCTAATATAATTTGTATTTGTGTATCCTTCAATTCGTAGGGTTTATTTTTTTTTGTGTAGAAATTTTTTTTCCTGATTTAATTTAAGATGTCTAATAATTTTATAAGTGACTTGAATGTGTGACTATTTGAGTTTGAGTATGAAATAATTGACTAGATTTATTGCGAATGCAATATTAGGACGTGTGTGGGATAAGTAGTTTAATTTTATACAAACATTTAACATTGTTACATATCTACATCAACTTCTTTTTCATTTATGTTCAATTTTTGTCCTAATCTAATTGTAGTTTCACACGACTTGCACTCTTTTATTTAGGTTTCTTTCAACAAATTCATAATAAATTTTTGTTGGGAGAGAAATATCTCTTATTCAGATTGAGTCACTTCTATTCCTAAGAAATATTTGAGTTTTCCTAATTTTTTATTTCAAATTCTTTAGAATTTTTTTCTTGAGAGTTTTTTTCTCCTGATTGACATCCCTATAAGAATTATATTATCAACGTATATAATAAAAATGAGATTTTAGCATTAGAACAATTTTTATGTAGAGTATAATTTGCTTAGTTTCCTATCATTTCTCATCTATAAATCTATCAAATCAAGCTCTTGGTGACTGTTTTAGTTTATATAGGGCATTTTTTAATATGCATGCCCAATTCTTTTTGAGGGAGCTATTCAATTCTGATGATAGATCTATATAAATCTATTCATCAACAATCTTATATAAAAATAATTTTTATATTGTATTTTTTGTATATCACTCATGATTTGTGCTTAGAGATGCCGATACATGAATATTATTTTTTTTGGGAACAATAGTAAAGTCTTACGTTAGGCACTTCCACGTGATTGAGTGTACTTGTTTATTACAAATCTTATTTTTTGACCTTTTCAGGCTCCAATTTGCTTTGTATTTGATTTTGAAAAACCATTTGCATTCTGCTGCTTTCATTCCTTTGACAGCTCAATGGTCTGTCAGTTATAATTTTTTTAAAGCATTCATCTCTTTTTTCATAGGCTTCGTTCAATTTATAGTTGCCATTATGGAATGAACTGGGAGTTTTTGTTCATGTTGGTTAGAAATATTTTATGGTAGGGAGAAAATTTATGAAATGAGGTGTATTGGGAAATATGATATAACTGATTATTAGTGGGTTGTTAATTGTTTTCTTGTAACCTGTTTGAGTCCTGGACTTGTTGGAGATCCAAATTGGGTTTGTTACTTCTTGTATAGACTTGAAGTGATGTAGAAGGTACAAAGCTTGTATTTGTATAATTTTGGGCTACATGAATGTTAAGACGAAGAATATCATCAAACTTACCTTTAAGTTGGGAATGCTCTCTTTGAAGATGAGTTTGAGTGTAGAAGATGTTAGTTTCATAAAAAATTGACGTCCAGTTAAGTGATGAACATTTTTTTTTATGAATGATCACTTATACCCTTTTTGTGCGATAGAATATCAAATGAATACATACTTTAGAACCCTTGGATCAATGATTTTCTTGTGATGTTCATGGATATGAACATAAACAATGCATTCAAAAACTTGAGGAGGGATTTTTAACAAGTAGTTTGTTAGAAATAATTTTATTAAATAATTTATAAGATTTTTGAATAAATTACCGTGGAGGGGTCTTTAAGAAGTTGTTTGTAAGAAAGAACTCTATCAAATAATTTATAATATTTTTTGAATCAATTACTCTGGAAAATATTCTGTTGATTAAACACATAGTTGTTAGAACTTCTATTTAATATGATTTTTGTAGTTTTTGCATAGCAGAAGTGTTCTGGCAACCTCCAAATGGTGGTATTCTTTTTGTCACTTCTTTTTTTTGGCACTTCATTTTGTTGGGCCCTTCATTTCGTTAAGTAGTATCTAGGCAAAAAGATTGGTGGATAATACCCTCATTTTGAAAGTAGACCTATAATGCGTGATTAAAGTAGTCTTAAGCCAATAATTTGTTCGTTTCATCATCAAAGATTGACGCAAATCTAGTTAATCTGCACAGGAGGACATTTTCAATAAATCAGGGTCCATAACGGTGCCACGTTATTTTTGAGAGTTGTTACTAAATTTCTGTAGGTGTCATAATATTGAATTAATTAATACAGGAATATGATTTCCGGGAAACAACCATCTACGCTTGACCTCTTTGCTCATTTAATGTCTCTAATTCGTTCATTTTCATATTGGAAAATTCCTTTTTTTTTTTTTTTTGATATTGATCACATTTCTCTTTCGCCTATTAATTGCTAGCTTGATTCTTCGAAATTATACTGTAGAAAATGGCAAAGCGGATGCTATCCAACTTGATTTCTAGAGGCATCACTCATTCTTTTGAGTCAAGGGTAAGAATCTCCCAATCAGCGGTTTTTTCTGTTTTTTTTTTTTTTTTTTTTTTGCAAAATAATATTTGAACTAGATACATTATTTCAGCTAGCTAATTCAATCTATGCTGTTTGAATCCATGGCTTCAGTACTCTTTGGAAAAGACTCCAGAGGAATAAGAGCTCTATGTTGGTTACATTTTAATGAGTTCATATTTAAAACTACAGGTTTATAGCAGGTTTTTGAATTTATTAGCATTATTTTGGGGATCAAGCTTATTCTCCAAATGCCCTCCTCCCTTTTTGTCATAGCTTTCTTCTTTCTTGCTTCATGTCTGAATGTTTGTGTTTTTTTTTTTTAATTTTATTTTATTTATTTTTTTTAATTTGGAGTTTGAACGACATGACTTCTTTGTAAGCAGTTCACATCTGTTATTTTCTTGTTGTAGTTGTTGATGCACCGGTATCACAGCATGCCTTCTGCATGCTTTAACGTTAACCACACTTGTAGCCATCCTTCCTTTTATTTTAAACTGATAAATCATTCAAGGTCTGACATGGACCTTATATTTATCAAGGGATTTTGAGGGTTTGATTCATTTATATTGTTTTTTTGTTAATTCGAATAGAATTTCCTTCTCTCTAACTTTCTCTTCCTGCTGCACCTAAGAAACCACATTACTACTAAAATGTTAAATATTTATCTCTAGATCATTACGTGTAAGTATAAATTAACTAATTAGGTCTGTCATGTTTGGGTATATTTGATAGATTATACTTAAATATGAGGTATTTATATTTAAATATAATATCTTGGGTTAAGCTGGAAGGTTTATTAGATGATGAGAACGTATTATGGAGTTTTCAAAATATAAATCAAATATTGTATATGGACTATGTAGGGACTTAATGGTTAAAACCAAGTTGAGATAATCTTAAGATTCATGTGTGATGAAATGATGGAAGGCAATGATAATTATAGTTGTTAGATGATAAGCGTAGCTTATATTGGAGATAATGCAATAAAGATAGTTTTTAGGTGATTTGAGCATTTACATTGTAGGGAAGAATATCCCCCAAATACTACGGGTAGGTTAACTTAATTTTCAAAGGATTAGAAAGAGAAATAGCTAGCTAATGATAACATGGTGTATAGCCCCTTAACTTCAAAGAGGAGGTTTGCAGTTTGATTCCTGCAAAAGATAGAAGAAATATTAACACACATCCAATGTAGCACTCAAAAGAATGGATGGAGGAGGATTTATAAGTTAATTCCTGACAGGTGGTATCAATGCCTTTTCTTGGGCAAAGTATGCGGTATTCAACAGGGATAAGTGGTGATTCAGATACACATGAAGATTTTCGTTCCACCAATAAATTGGAAGGCTCCGGAATCTCTGTGCAGGATGTTGTTCAAAAGGTGATTATAACTTGAGCAGTTTTCAGCATTATTGTCTTTATATAGTCTTTTTAATTTCTACATTTAGCTATTGGCTACTGAATGGTTGCTTTTAATAGGATATTAAGATAAATCCAGTGATGATTTATATGAAGGGTGTTCCTGATGCTCCTCGGTGTGGATTTAGCGCATTGGCAGTCAAAGTTCTACAACAATATGGTAAACCTGATGTAACTAATTTCAAAGTGCTTTATTAAACCATATGCGTAACTATTAATCTCTTGTTCAGTTTTTATGTTTGTGTGTTTCATTTTTTTTTTTTTTTTGCAATTCTATTGCAGGAGTTCCTATAAGTTCCAGAAATATTTTGGAAGATCCTATTCTCAAAGAGGGTGTAAAATCGTTTAGGTTAGTGCTTATCAATCGCCATAATTCATATTTGTGAAAATCATCAATCATAACTAACATTAATAGATCAAAAGCTTAAGAGCTGAAATGGACTGTTTCTTTTATTTTTATGTTGATCATTTTAAAAAAAAAATGATTCTAATAGTGAGTTCTTCTGGTGAGAGCTTCAAATTGGTTAGCGGGTACTCTTGATGACTGGCATTGATCAATGGGCAACTTCATTATTTCTTAGGTGAGTTAAGTAGCTTGGTTATAGGTTTGACTAAGGTTGACCCTTTGGCAACATGACAGAATTGGGATATGGGAGACTCGGGATTTATGTGGCTTATTGCTCAGCGAGTTTCGAGTCATAGGCAACTTCAGTCATATCATAGCAATGACTACTTGAACCCAATTTAAACTCGCTTGATGACCTTATCATTCTGACCTAAATAAATATGGCATATAGGTTTGATTTTCCTGTGATTAATTAGGGTCATTATCTTAAAAAAAGCTCAACATTAATTTGAATAAAGTTGTGCTTTTAAAAAACATGCTTGCTTAGTTTTTCCTAGGCTTTATTTTAGAAGTCATTTTTTTGCATGATAATTGATTTAAATTTAATAAAAAAAATTAAAATTAATTTTGTTTTTAAAACAAATCAGTTCTTGAAATCTGTCATGAGGCCCAATTTTTCCCTGTTTGTGTGTGCGTGTGCGTGCCACTTCATTATGTTGATTTTATTTTGTTTGTTGAGTTTATAGGAAACAAAAGCATTTTGCCACACCACCTATTTTGTTTTTATTTGGTTTATAAAGCAATGTAAAATTTCTAAAAATGAAACTATCAATTCATCTTGAAAGTACAATAATAAAATCAAACACATTTCTCAAATTATAATTTAATATATTATAATCACAGCCTTATGGAATAATCACAATGACAGTTTCACAACACAGTAGACCCCTTTATGTGTGTGTTTGTGTGCGTGTGAATAAATGTTTGTATTAATTTTATTCAACTTAGCAAACATTTATTAAATAGTGTGCAATTTTTATCTGAAGTCATTGAGTGAAGATTAGTGTCTGAATGCAAGGACATCAGTCTGACATAAGAACACTTATTTAAGATTATTGATATATTGAATTAAGTTTTAAGTTTAAATTAAGAAATTAATAATTTTTTTTTTTTTGATATTATGATTCTAGGTCGTATACTATAGATGACAAGCTCGAGACGAGCTTAAAAATAGTCATCGCGAGTTTGTTCTATCAATTCAAGCAGCATAATGAAGTATTAATTTAAGAAATAAAATATTCTATAGGATTATTACTTATTACTATTAATAATATGTTTATTTATTAGTATTGACACATGAAATTGCATGTAAAAGTTTTTGCATAATGTTGGATATCTGTTTATTTATTAGAAAGTCAAGCACACATAGAAAATATTAATTTTATTGATATGATTGTATTTTCATGTATACAAGATAAATTATTTGTATGCATATACATTTATACAAACCGTAACTGTATAAAAAAATGATTATAATAGGAAATTAATTAAGCGAATATCATGAATGTTGTGATGACTGGATTAATCTTATTTGATGACGTGCAGAGGGAAAGATGACAGAAATATGATAAAATTCTTGATTTTTTGATATTGAGTCTAGAAATTTTTTTTTTGTATTATTGGGGTTATTGATAAGTGTTATATTGAGAGATGACCAATCTTTATCAATGTTTGTTATAGCGGATTGACTGTGATAACTCAAAAAAATGAATTAAGTCTATATAAATACAAAGTGATAGTTTTAAGATAAAAAATAAATAATAATAATGAAAGTACACGTAAATGTATAGAAATGATTGTACAAGAAATTGAATAAATCACGTGCTAGTTGTAGTTTATTTTTCTGCTTACTATTTTTATGTCCCATTTTTCTATAGATTTTATGTTATATATAAATTAAAGTATATTAATTATTTATTACTGTCACTCATACTAGTTATTGATTAGAATGTACATTGATTATTTTTCATTTATGAAATTTTACTTTTACACTGATTATTTCACTAAACTTGAAGCTTTCTCTAGATTATGTTATTAATTATCAGGGAGGGAGAAGGAGCAGCAAGACAATTAGTCAGATGATATGATTTTGTACAGCTTTTGATCTTAAAACATGTTGGCAAGTTTTGGACTTTTTAAGATATGTGAATATATATTAATATTTTAATAGTGAATTAATTATGCATATTTTCTTGTGAGTTAGTTATAAATAAATATAAAATCAGTAAACAGTAATAATCAAATTGTAACTAGCACATTTAATTCAATCTCTTGTGCAATTATTTGCGTACCTCTACTTGTATCTTCATTCTTATTATATATTTTGTTGTCTTAAGAATGTCATTTTGTAGTAGTCTAGAATTTGAATTAATTTATTTCTTTGGGTCTTGACCCATCCCGTTAGCTCTAATAACCGTTGATAGAAGTTGATCATCTCCTAACACAACACTTATAAATGACTACCCTGTTACAAAAAATGTCCATTTAATGACTTCACACAAACGTTTGCACTCTCCCTGTTAAGGGGTTTGACCATGGTAACCCAAATTTATATCAGGTAAAGTTTATGCTTTGTGGAAAGCCGCTCATTCCATAGAAATTTGTGAGATCTATGCATTCTCTGTGGTTTTGGTTTTGTGCGCTTTTGAATTTTCTAATTGCTTGGAAGGGTTTCTTCCGTGCAAAAAGAAGTTTGCGGAGGAAGAGCTATAGGAGCTGGCGCAGTTTGGTATCCTTTATTTTTCTCCAGCAGGGAAAAAAGAGGGTAGATTTTTTCTAAGCAACTATTTCTTCTCCATGATAAATCAAAGCACATGGGGATGGATAAACACTTTTTAAAGGAGAAAATTGAACAATGAATCATCCAAGTTAGTTACTCTTCAACAAATTATCATAGTGCTAAATATCCTTATCAAAGCTATTAATAAACAATAATTGACATTATTAATTTTAAGATTGGAATGGTGATGTATTTTCTTAGGTTGAAATGATCAAAATTTATTCCTCCCTGCTACGAGCTTGCAACCACTCTGGGTACACTAGCTCCTTTCAGGATGTGGCCTTTCTAACAATTCCTAGCTTGCTCGCTTGTTCCATCATTCTGCCAGCCTGCAAGCCACCAGTTGGTTGTCCACCAGTTTTTTCACCCTACTGTCATGCCCAAATGTCTTTCCATTGCTGCTTCTGCGAGCCCTTATTATCCAATGGGGAATGAATTTATTTTTTGCATTGTTTCCATAATTTATTGCAAATTGATTAGGCTAATTTCTTTCTTGTTTTCTTACCTCATTTATGTGGTAAATTATGGTCTTATTTCATCACCTATTTATCTTTCTATTTTTGATGGGCTTGTATCTTCTATCGATTTTGCATCTTCTCTACTTATTGTCAGAATAATTCTTCTATGCTTTTCAACAGATTTATTAGTAGAAATAGTTACAATTATGAACTACTAAATTGAGCCAAACTTGTTCCAAGAGAAATCAAGGATTTGATTTTTTTTTCTTGTAATATTTTTGCAGCAAATCAGGCAAAGTAGCTAGATATTCTAGCTTAGTGGAGTGTGCTTTTAGCAAATTGGCATTTAAAGGCAATTAAAATTTGTTTTTATTAAGAAGCTATCCATTTAATGCCAGCTTTAAGATTCAAAATTTATTTTAAAATTAATATTTTGAATTGTATTTAGAATAAATATAAAATTTAATATTAACGAAAGTGAAATTTAATTTTGAAATTTAACACCATAACTGGTGAAACTATTGAAAAATTAGAACTTTCACAATGAAATCAAACTCGAGTTTAAACACCTTAATTATAAACACACAACAACAACAACAAGCCTTTATCACATTAAGTGGGGTCGGCTACATGAATCATTTTTCTCCATTGTGTCATAATGTCAAATTTTCATTTCATTCTAATAAATTAAAATTATTTTTTATACAATATGCTTAAGTTTTTTTGGGTCTTCTTCTGTCTTTCTTAACATTATTCGAATCTAAGACATCTACTCTCCTAATCGGATCATCAAATGGTCGACATTTAATGTGACTAAACCATCTAAGACGACTCTCTCTAATCTTGTCCGTCACTGGAGCTACACCAATCCTATCACAAATATATTTATTTGGCATTTTCTCTCTAGTGTCAAGTCACTCATCCACCTAAGCATTCTAATCTTAGTAACACTTAACTTTGTTTTATGCTTCTCTTTTAAAGACGAACATTATGCGCCATAAAGTATTGTAGGTCTCATAACGATCTTATAAAGTTTTTCTTTCAGTCTAAGCAGTATTTTTCTATCACACAATAGGCCCTATGCATGCCTCCACTTCAACCAACCAACTTGAATTCTACTAATAACATCCCTGTCTATGTCACCATCACTTTGCACAATGGACCCGAGCCGAGATATGTAAAACATTCCTACCTTTTAATAATTTGACCACCTATAATTACAGTTACAACTCTGCCACTAGAACTACTACTACTAAACTTACATTCCATGTATTTAGTTTTAGTTCTACTCAAACGAAGGCCTTTAGACTCTAATGTAGACCTCCATACTTCAAATTTTTCCTGAACTCTTTCTCTTCCATCAGAAAAATATCATCAGTGAAAAACCGACACCAAGATACATCCTCTTGCAAATGTCCAGTAAGAGCATCCATAATTAAAACAAAAAGATATTAGCTTAAAGTCGATCCTTGATGTAATCCAATTGAAATAGGAAAGTACTTGGTCAATCCTCCTTCCGTTCAACACATGTAACAACTTCAGTATTCATATCTTCAATGACTTGAATATAAGTCATATCAACACCTTTCCTCTCTAAAAGTTTCAAGAGGACTTCTCTTGGAACCTTATGACATGCTTTTTCTAAATCATTTAAAATCATATGTAGATCCTCCTTATTCCCTCTATACTTCCTCTATACTTCTCCATCAAGTTCTCCATCAAGCCTCTCAATAAATGTATAGTTTCCATAGTAAACCT